AGGCCCAGGGCACACCGGAACTGCTGCAGTTTGTCACTCAGGTGCCTCTCCACCTTTGTCCCAGATACCAAGGCCTACCTTCTGTTGGCCCAGGCCAGTTGTTCATTCTTGAGCTAGCTCTCAGGTCTAGAAGTGTTTTGTTCTGAGTGTCAAGCTCTTCACAAGCCTCTCCTTCCCTGCCAGAAACCCAGAGAAGACGCCTGCTATGGTTGCCAGGCCAGTGTGTGCTACACGTAGGAGCGAGGGTGGGCCTGCTTTGCACTGCCTCTGCCCATGGGCTCTTAGATGGGCTGAGCTGTGAGCCATGTCTCCAACTCACTGAACTTGTTCAAGCCCTGATGCATTTGACTCAATTGTCCTGCCATCAGCCTCCCACAGAAACCATCTGCAATGGATGAAGGCTCCAGCATTTTTTTTTTTTTTTTTTTGGGAGGGGGGAGGGGTTTTTTGCATGGGGGGGGCACGAAAGTATCTTTCTCATTGCATCACAGTCAGGGTTTACATGGTATCAATATAACTTTATGGGTGATGTTGACCTTGGTCAGTTGGTTAAGGTGATGTCTGCCCATTTTTTCCACTCCATAGTTGCTTACTACCGTTCCGTTTCAGAAAGGGCGTATTCAGCATGACGGCAAAATCATAAAGTAAGTTATTGAAAGTGATCATTAGATTAGCCTCCTAAAATGGCAAGACTTTGACACAGCAAATGACAGACCGAGGCAATATTTGCAACACACGATAGACAAGGATTTGTTTCTGAGCATGCATAGGAGCTTTTCAGCTCACTAAGGAAAACCTGAGTGCCTTAGTTGAGAAATGGAATAAAGAAAAATTGCTGTTGGCCAATAAGCACTTGAAAAAAATTTAACCTCCTTGTATTAAAGAAAACGCCAGTTAAAGCCTCACTGTCTTTCACATATGCAATTTAAAATGTTTTTAAAGCTTTACATTTTTAAATTAAAAATAGAATGCTAATATTGGGAGTGGTGCACTTTTTTTGGAGAGGGGAGAGGTTTTTGCTATAGGGTGTGTGCACTCGCCAGAAAGACAGAGACATAGAGAGAAAGCAAGAAATCACCCCCCAGGGGGGATGGCCACACCACAATCCCTTCTCCTCCATTCTCCTCTCAGGATCTTAGGCACGCACGCACACGCGCCCGGCGTGAGTTTAAGCCATCAGGACTCGAACCGCAGTCGACTACATGGGAGTCCAGCGACATAGCCATTACACCAACTGCTTGTCCCCTCCAGCAATTCTTAAGAACACAGCAGTCAGTCTTAGCCCCAAACCCTGCGTGCTCCTGTGTGCAGTACAGCCAGCTCTGTTGTCCACCCCCCTCAGCACACACCTCTTACCCAAATCCAGGAGTCAAAATTTAGGTTGAGCAACTTGGACTTCAGGCACAGTCCATGGTTCTGTCACCCATACCAGGAAGGACCTGAGTTGCTTTCTCTGCTCTCTGGACAGAAAACAGAAGTTTTCTACCCTGACCTGTTGTGAAGCCAACGTTACACCCACAATTCCTTAAATTCCTACAACTGGTTTGGGACCTTGGCTGGTCAAGACTAAAGGAGTCAATACCCCCTCCAGAGAAACAAAACACACACAAAAGAACAAATACGGACTTGTTTCATACTTACATGAAATGTCCCGAAGAGAAAGTAGATGAGTGGTTCACGGTTCAACCTGGGGCGGAGGGGACTGAGAGGAAATGAAGGATGACTGCTGAAGGGTGCAGCGTTTCTTTCTAGGATGTGAAAAATACTCCGAACTGTGGTAATGGCTGCCAGACTTCCAGCCAGCCAGGGTCATGAGCACACACTGCATGCTCAGGTCAACCGGGATCCAAACCAGGCGCCTTCCTACGTGGCTCCAATGTGTTCTACCACCACCTACGCTGCCAAAGCTGGCCCAAAAAGTTTTACTTTTGTTTAATTAGTCATACTTTTTTTTTTAAGATTTAACTTAATTTTTTTTTAGTTTTTTGTTTGTTTGTTTTTGCTATAGGGCGCGTGCGCTCGCCAGACACAGGCAGAGAGATAGAAAGTGAGAAATCCCCCCCCCCCCCGGGGGGGGGATGGCCATGCCACAATCCCAAAAAAAAAGGACCTAGGGCAGTCACGCCCATGTGCCCGGAGTGAGTTTTAAGCCACCAGGTCCGGGACGCGAACCGCAGTAGACTACGTGGGAGTCCAGTGACATAGCCATTACGGTAACTGCTGGTCCCTATTTATTTTTTTAAAGAGATTTTGTTATAGGGCACTTGTGCTTGCTGGAAAGACAGAGACAGAAAGTGAGAAATCACTCCCTGGAAGGATGGCCACATCGCAATCCCTTCACCTTCACTCTCCTCTTGGGATTTTGGACACGCATGCACATGTGCCCAGTGTTTCAAGCCGCCAGATCCAGAACTCAAACCGTGGTTGACTACATTGGAGTCCAGCAATGGAACCATTACGTCATCTGCTGGTACAATTATTATTTTTAAAAATTTTGTTATAGGGCACGTGCACTCACCAGAGAGAAAGGGAGAAAGCAAATCATCAGATCTGGGACTCGAACAGCACAGTCAACCTTGTGGGAGTCTAGACCCTTAACCACTATACCACCTGCTGGTCCCAGTCATACCTTTTCTTTAAATATAAGTAAAATGGGGTGGGCGGGAGCCAGCAGGTGGCATGTGTTAAGGGTGCTGGACTCCCACAAGGCCAGCCGACCATGGTTCGAGTTGCAGACCTAGTGGCTTGCTTTCTCACTTTCTCTTTCTTTCTCTGGTCTAAATAAATAAATAAAGTTAAATAAAATAATTCTTAAAATAAATATACATAAAATGGGGACCAGTAGATAAGAGTAATGGTTCTATTACTGGACTCCATATAGTCAACTGGTCTTGAGTCCTGGACCCAGCGACATAAAACATGCCTGGCACGTGTGTGTGCATTCAACATCCCAAGAGAATGGAGAAGGGATTGTGGCATGGCCATCCCCCCTAAGGGGTGATTTCTTGCTTTCTTTCTGTCTCCTCTAAGACCCTGATTGTAGTATAGTAATTCCCCCTGTGGTGTAATTTCTTACTTTCCCTCTCACTGTCTCTCCACAGCAAGTACACCTGACCTAAGGCAAATACCTCTACAAAAAAAAAAAGAGAAAAAAGTAAAATATTTTCTATTTTGTATTTCACATTTCTCATGTATCTTGGCCCATCTGATTCTGTTGTTTAACGTTTTTGTTTGTGGAGCTTTTCAATTAATTTCATTTACTATTATTATTATTGTTTAATCTGCTATGGGACATATGTACTTACCAGAGAAAGAGAGAACGACAAAAATGAGAAAGCAAGCCACAGGTCCAGCCAGGACTTAAACCATAGTTGGCCATGTGGGAGTCTAGCACCTTAACCACTACACCACCTGCTGACCCTGTTTTTTTTTTTTTTAAGAATTTTTTTTTAATTTCCTTTTTCCATTCATTTATTTTAATTTGACCAGAGAAAGAGAGAGGAAGTGAGACAGTAAGCCCCCCAGGTCCAGAACTCAAACCATGGCTGGTCCTGTGGGATTGTTCAGTGCCTTAACAGCCATGCCACCTGCTGGTCCCCAGCCGACCCTGTTTTTAGTGTTTTTCCATAGGGTATATGCACTCGTCAGAGACATAGCAAATAAGAAATCACCCTCTAGGGAGATGGCCATGCTGAAATTCCTTACATTCCATTCTTTTCTTGGAATTTTGGGCACATACACATACCCAGTGTGATTTTTTTTTTTTTTTGAGAGGTTTTTGCTATAGGGCGTGTGCGTTCACCAGACAGACAGAGACACAGAGCCAGAAAGCAAGAAATCTCCCCCCAGGGGGGATGGTCACACCGCAACCCCTTCTCCTCCATTCTCCTCTCGGGATCTTAGGCACACAGGCACACGCACCTGGCGTGAGTGTTAAGCCACCAGGTCCAGGACACGTACCGCGGTTGACCACGTGGGAGTCCAGCAACATAGCCATTACACTAACTGCTGGTTCCCCCCAGTGTGATTTTCAACCCACCGGGTCCAGGGCTCAAACTACATTTGGCCATGTGGAAATCCTACATGGTAATCACCATGTTCCCTGCTCATTGCTCCTTGTTCTTAATAACTCTTACTCATGGTGGTTTCTTTCCTTGTGTGTTTGGTGTTAATTACAAGCTCCTATTCCTTGAGACTTTATCTGGAAGAATCCCTTGAGGTCTGGAACTGTTTAAACACTAACTCTCAAGAGAGAACTGCATTTGCTTCTGTCAGGTGCCTGGTGACACTGCCAGCCCAAGACCAACTAAATTAAATTAGCAGCCAGAGGATTTCCCCAGCCACATGGGAAATACAAATAAATTCTAGTCTAAAACAACACTGAGGGCCAGCTGTGCTTATGTACTATCGGGGAGTTTCATGGCCCCATCCTCTCCCTTCTCTTGCATCTAAGACAAAAGCCAAGTAGTAAGTTATGGGATTGGTTCACCCTTTAAATGATATAGCATCTTTTGGGGGTCCAGATTTAAGAATGAGGCATCTCTGAACTGATTTCCCATTTTGTAGAAAATTTAAGCTTTGTTGCCTGCCCTTCCCCATACATGGTCCACTAAAAGACTAATTTTAGGTCTTACAAATCCCATGAAAAAGCAGAATAAAAAGATGAGTAACAAGAATGTTTATGAAGTAGCTCCTACAATAAAGTCCCAACCTAGGAGTCACGAACAGACGCCATGGCCTTCATTGGCCCCTTTTCTTCTCTTCAGAGTCACTGACTGAAGGCAAAAACAGGAGGACGTGATGAAACAGATCCAAGCAGAGGCAGTGTGGCACAGCAGAAGCTGCTCTTCTTGCCCAGGCCTAGAGGTGGTCCGAGAGCCCTCTAGTCATCTCTGGACTAGCCTAGCTTAAGGCAGCTATGATCCTTGCCCTTGAATGGGAAAGAACCAGGAAAACGGGCCAAACCAAAGACCGTGCCCACAGATTCACGAGTCCTGGGCTGTGGTAGAGGACAGTTCTTTATTACTCTTTGCTCAAAGGGAGATGTCTCCTGTCCTTGCCTGCATTTCGGCGCCTCTTTCGACTCAAGAAGCTTTCTAGCTTCTTGCTGCGTTTCAGCTCCTTGAACTTCTCAGCCAACGTCAGCTGGCGCTGCTCAGCTAGAGGGTGGGGAAGAGAGCTGGTGAGCAACTGGAAAAGTCTTTCCCTCTCCTCAGGTCAGTAACTCCTAGCCACCACACTGGCACAGGTGAGCTGACTAGAGTTCACTGCCACGTTTTGTGAGCAAGCCAACCTTGTCATAGATTCTAGTCTTACTCAAATCAACCGTGAGCTCCCAGCATGTTGGGAGAGGGTGGAAGGGGTACACAGAAATAAAAGAGACGACCTCTACTATAATCTAACCAGGGATACAAGACTGGTTACAAATAATCCCTCTCTACTATTTCCACTTGCCTCCAAGTTACTACAGGATTTGGCCTTCATGCCTTCCTTGAAGGAACTCACCAGCCCCCAACACGGGCCTCTGCACCCTCTCTCTGGAGTCAGCCTGCAGCAGCTGTGCCCTACTCACATTTCTTCAGGAAGTATGGTCGGTGGCCCTGCTGGGCCTGAGCCCTCCGCTCCTGCTTCAGGGTCAGGCGTAGCTCCTGCTGCCGCTTCCGTTCCTGCTCTGCCTTTTCTTGCTGCTCCTGAGGAGTGAAGACAAGACGGATGAATAGGAGTGACTATGAATGACCTTCTGCCTTTACCTGCTCTCAGCAGCCACCGCAGTCATTCCCCACTCACCATTCGCTGAAGCAACTGCTGCAATTTCTCATGCTTCTCCCCTGAATGGTGCTTTTTCAACTGCTTTTTCACAAGCTCCACATCAGAAAATGAATATGACAGTTAGAATGCTGTAAATGTTAGCTGAAATTCTGTGTCAAGCATTATTCTAAGAGGTTCACATATATTATTTCAGTAACAGGAGGAGATAGTTATTGTTATTATCCTTCGTACGACTGGAAAATTGAAGCAAAGAGAAAGTAACTTGCTGACGGTGAGTCAATAAACTGGGAAGCAGAATTTGAATATAAAAACTAACAATAGGGGCCAGCAGGTGGCATGGTGGTTAAGGATGCTGAACTCCCACAAGGTGAACCACAGTTCAAGTCTTGGACCTGGTAGCTTGCTTTCTCGCTTTACCCCCCACC